ATTATTACACTCCCTTTAGGTTTATCTTAATTGAATTTAGAGGACTTAGACTAACTGAAGTGAAAATCAGAACTGAGATCTGTAACTTACTCAGTGCGCTGTGGTCCTGTATACACTTTTTTTAATACTACATATCCATGTTTCTTGTGAACACATAAAGAAATTGTTCCAAACCCTCCAGCATCTAGTTGCTTTTTTTCAAGCAAATCCTTGGTGTTCATGTGGATGTCTTCCAGTGACATGGCTGAAGTCTTTGTGGCTTAGCAATTAAAACAAAATCAAGCACCCTCGTGCTTCTGGACCTGCAGTATAAAGGAAAAAAAATAAGTGTAATTGAAAGCATTTAGCTGTTCCACTAAATAAGTGTACATTTAAGGAGTGGGACAGAAACATAAACTCTCATGACCCTTATGAATGCTCAGCTGGAAGCAAAAAATGCTGTGGTTCTCACAGAATCAAACCTTAAGATTTATCCTGTCAACTCACTACAGTTATAATCAGTTGATGTAAAATAATTTCTTCACCTGAGGATCTCAAAGTGCTGTATGGATAAATAGATTTTATCCATACAATATGCAGTAGATCAGTACTGTCCCTACACTTCATATGTGCAAAATCCAAACCCCAGAAAAACCAAGAGCCACGGTCCCAAAGGCAGGTAGTGCCTAATGATTATCTTGTATCTTGTTTTCTGAATTGCCTGAACATGGGCCTGTCATGTGCCCAGATTCCCTCATAACCCTAAACTACCTTTTAGGCATCTTTGCAAACCTAGCTTTAAAGGGTTTGCTTAAAGCTTAAACCAAACAACCTAATGGAGGGTGAAATGAAGGACTCAGCTTCTATGGGAAACTTATTTGCACAAGAACTCAAGATGACAAGTGCTAGGAAGGAATAGGTATAGCAACTTCTCCTCTGCCCATTAAAAAGAAGAGGAACAAAGAAAATATGAAGGCTTATAGTAACTCCTAAGTGCATCAAGACACAAAGAGAGTTTGGGGGATCCTATGAAATGGGTAAGTAATAGGTAAGTAATTAGTTGCGGTAAGTAACAGATAAGTAATAGGTAAGTAATAGGTAGATAAACACAAGTGGATGCCAGAATTATTATAATCCTTTGGTAATGCTGTGATACTCTCTTGCATAATATGCTTCCCAGGCTAGACAGCCCCTGCCTTCAGCAAAGCCAGCAAGCTGCTTTGCTAGCATTGGTGCAAGCCAACAAGCTCTGCTTTCCCCCCCCCTCACCAAGTTTTTAACTTAAGTGCCTTACATCAGGCAAAGAAAGAGTTTGCTAAGAAAAGACAAAGTCCAAGAGACTGGCAGCACTGTTCGTTTTCCACTTATCCTGGGTAACTACAACACAGACATAGATAGAGGGGGCTGGGAGAAAGGCACCACCTCTAAGTGCAACTATCAGCAACAGTAGATGGGCTCTCGTTTGGGTAACTAAGAGCTCTAACTTGTGTAGCAAAGGAACTCCCACGTTTTCCCAGACCAAAAAATGACTGCTAACTCCTGCAAACTACTGTGCATTTGTATCATCCAATCTCTAATTGAAAAGACTGCTTAATGTTGTTGTGAACATCGCTGCAGCCTAATTTTGACTGCCTCATTACCACAGCCTCTTTGGGGAGCCTGGGATCTAGGGATTTAGTGTGTGTGGAATGTAGGTAGCTGAGGGAAGACAGACGTTTCAGTGCTGAGTTGGAAATGGTCTGATCAGTTCAATACTGACAAACCAAAACAGGGTTTTGTTAATAAGTTATTTTTTTAAAAAATAAATGAATTGTGCCTGTAGAGGAGATAGAGCAAGAGCTTTCTTTTCAAAGTACATATAGAGACTCTACGGGCCGTCATAGTACAGATAGGGAACAACCTCCCTACACCCAGAGCAGTGTCCTCTCTTCAGAGTTTTCTGCTTTGGCTTTACAGACTTCAAAAATATGCAGGCTTTGTTTTGCTGCAGTGCTAGCCTGCATTACGAGCACAGGCCTGAGGACATGGCTGCATTCATTTAGTAAGAAGGTAAGTCCTGCAATGTGTAATAATGATTAGAGGAAATTGTTTTTTTTTTTTTTTTTTTTTTTTTTTTGTGGTTGTTTTTGTTTTGTGGGGTTTGTTTGTTTGTTTTGGGGTGTTTGTTTTGTTTTAAATTCCTTTACAGTCAATCAAACAGATAACAAATTACTCATAGCAGGGCCATTGCTGCTTTCATAGCTGAGCTTTCATCTCCCTGGAAGTTTCTGGTGATGGTTGTCTGGATTTGTTAGTGTGGTCATACTGACTTTTGTGCAGATGGGGTGGATGTCACATGTACAAGAGCCTAAATTCAATCATGAGAGTCAAACATGGCATAAAATAACATCTTGCTTCTTTAACTGGGTCTCCCTTCTAAGAATACGTTTGAAGTCACTTATGTGTATTAATTTTTCCATGCTAACAGCAATTAAGCATCTAGGTAGTAGTTATAAGACTTGCGTGTGTAGATGTGTACTTTCGAATGGCAAATCTCTAAAGTCGCATTGATATCGCTGATAGCTTGGGACTGGCATTCAGTACCATATAACCTGGCAAAAAATATCTCTGCCCAAAACTGCAACAAATGCAGAACCTTGTTCCTATTTACAATGTTAATTACCTGTTCCTTCCAACCAAGCCACATGCTCAAAAGTCTTGGAAATACAAAAGAAGTAATAACTTCTAAAATCATAGTGTCTGTTGATGCGAGCTGGGTAACATTCAAGAAGAGGGAAGTTTTTTATTAGATGGGAGGGAACCTTCCCCCTTGGCATGGAAAGATGCTACTGCTTTTGTTTTTGGTGTTCTTATTAAGTAATGAGGTACTCTGAATAGAAGCTCTCTGATCTAATTACTTATTTCAAACCCAGAGCTTTGGGGAACTTTTCATAGAATGAATATCACAGGAAAACCATGTCTAGTCAGGCTTTAAAGCAAAGACTACTTATTCTATTTAACATGAGATATTGGCTTATGATAGCTTGAAATGTCAAATTATAAAAAAACAAGGATGGAAGCTCAAAGACTCAGGTTCACTCCAACCTTACTGCTTCTTATTGAAATACAGGGTAATTGATATTATCCTCAATACTAAGGACACACCGATTCATGCATTATGTATCTGTGGTTAAGATAATAGAAATTTTGTAGTTTAATTTAGAAGCTATGCATACTTCTAGTGGTTAATTTATGTTCTGTGAAGTAGCTGTCATCTGTATACTTGATTAATTTTAAAGCAGTTCTTCCTGCATACTATTCTGAACATTTTTATTCGGTTGGGTTCATATTTACCAAGTACCAACATGTGTTATGAAAATTTTGAATACCAGTTGCTAGAAGATAGGAATTTATGTCCACCAGTATGACTGGTGTTCTTTAGAAGAGGATAGAACTGCGCTAAATGGGTTTGTGGCATTGTTCTTTTTAACACCATGGTTACGTCCTCTCCTCTAACGCCTAAAGGGCATATAAATTCAGAAGAATCATAACCTGGACGTCAGGTCATCATGTCATATTCCTAATCACTGTTCAAAAGTGCTTTGCTCAGTTCTAACTGCATCTGATCTGATGCAGTTACAAATCTGTAATGATGTGACCTGCCTGGTTAAGGAGGAGTGCTGAGCACATTAGCACAGTAATATGAGAAAACACGGAACCTTTGTAGTTTAATGATGCTTCCAGCACCTAAGTTTCTTAAGAGGTGCTACAAACTTTAATTGGAGAAAATTAGCACCTTTACAAGCAGCAAAACTCAGTGGCCACTGAGTTATCAGTCAGTAATGGAACAGAATAAAGAACAGAAGCCAAAGCTGGTATTCCCAAATGACCAACAGGAGACAAATAGAAGGGTTGCTGTAGCTGCTAATAAAAATATTGCTTCTGTCAATTATGTTTCAAAATAGGGTATCTCAGATCTGTTGCTGTAAATGTCATAACCCATTCCATCTAAACCTTTCCCTTCTGCTCAGATTTTTCAGCTGATGCATCTTTTCATTAAGGAATGATTCCCCCCCCCTTTTTTTTTTTTCCTCTTGGAAATAGCAAAGAAAATACCTGTGTCAGATCGTCAACAGGTCACAGACAGGATTCCGTGGGAAAGGGAGGAGAACCCAATACAAGGGAAACAAAGGTGTTATGCAACACAAGTTTTCACAGGAGCAGAGGCAGCGCGGGAAGAGGAAAGGATGGGATTTGTGCAGTAGCCAGTACCCGTGCAAAGGTGTTGCAGTCGGTTCTGGTCACAAAAGTGAGCATTCCATATGGGCATCGGGAAAGGCTGTCTCGGCTGCGGCGCTGGGCCGTAGCTGTCGGAGACGGGCGCCACAGGCGCTGCCACTCGCGCGGCCAGAAGCGTCTGCTCGCCGGGGAGCGGGGACGCCCAAACGCGGGGCTGCTCTGGCCTAGTTCCTCGTCGGCCCATCTGCCATACCGCCCTTCTCCTCCCGCCGGCTTCCTGCCGCCGCGCCCGCCTCCTCTCCGCGTATCGCGCCCTCGCCCAGCGCTTCCCGCTCCCCGTGCCCAGGAGCCCCTGCACGGCGGCGCGGTAGGGGACGGGGCGACGCACCGAGGCCGGGCCATCTCACCTCGGAACCCGTCACACCCCTTCGCACCCTCGCTCGCGGGGTCGCCACCGTGGTTTCGGTTTCGGTGCAGCAGCGCGGCCTCGTCCAGCTGCCCCCTCTCCGGAGCTCCTGCCTTACCGTGCTCTGGCCTCTGAGAATCCTGCCGCTTCCCCGGGGGCCGCTGGCAATGGGGTTCGCCCCCAGCGCCCCTTAGGTCATACCTCGGTCCCGGAGCAGGAGGAGGCGGAGCGAAGGAGGCGGCTCGGAAGACTTGAAGCGGCGCGGGAGCCGCCCAGTGACTGCGTAAGTGCCCGGGCTCTCTGCGATCGGCGCCGCACGGCGGCTCAATCACTGCCCCGCCTCTCTGGGCACTACCATACTTGCCAAGAAGTGACTTTGTCGCTTCCTCAGCTCTCTGGGCACCCTGATCATTGCCGCCAGAAAAATCTCTCACTGCCTGAGATCTCTGGGCGCTACGATCCACGAGTCACACCTTGGCTTTGTACCTGCCTGAGCTCTCTGAGCAATGCGGTCGGTGCCACGCGATGGTTTTATCACTGCCTCAGCTCTCTGGGCACTCCGATCCGTGCTACACCGTGGCTCTGTCGCCGCTTCGGCCCTCCGGGCCCTCCGATCGGTGTCGGCAGAGAATCTTTCAGTGCCTGAGCTCTGAGCATTGTGATCGGTGCCACAAGAGGATGTGTCACGGCCTGAGCTCTCTATGTATTACGATCATTGCCACGCCGTGACTGTCACCTGTCGAGCTCTCTGGTAACTACGATCGCTGCAATACCCTGCCTCTGTCACCTGTCGAGCTGTCTGGGCACTGCGATCTGTGCCACACGGTACCTCTGTCGTCTGTCGACCTGTCTGGGCACAGTGATCGGTGGCACACGATGACTGTGGCACTAGCTCAAGCTCTCTATGCAAACTGATCGGTGGCATAGCCTGACTCTGTCAGCCACCGTGTGGCTGTGTCGCTGCTCGACCTCTCTGGGCAGTGCGATCGGTGCCACAGCGTGACTTTGTCCCTGCCTGAGCTCTCTGGACACTGCGCTGCCCCCGCTCCGCGCTCCTGCCTTGCCGTGCTCTGGCTTCTGAGAATCCTGCCACTTCCCCGGGGGCCGCTGGCAATGGGGTTCACCCCAAGCGCCCCTTAAATTATGCCTCGGTCCCGGAGCAGAGGCGGAGCGAAGGAGGCGGCTCGGAAGACTCGAAGCGGCGCGGGTGCCGCCCACTGACTGCATTAAGCGCTTTAGCGCTCTAAGAAATGCGATCGGTGCCGCCACAGAATCTGTCCCTGCCTGGGCTCTCTGGGCACTGCAATTGGTGGTACACAGGCTCTATCCCTGCCTCAGCTCTGTGGACACTATATTTTTCCCAAGAAGTGACTTCATAGATTCCTGAGCTGTCTGGGCACACCAGTTGCTCCTACCCTGGTGGCCCTGTCACTGCCTCAACCTTCATCAGCCTCTTCTGGATGTCAGGTATGTAGTTAATACAGCTTCTTTACAGAAGGGCCTTCCCTTTGCCATTCATCTATGAAAAGTTTTGTGATAATGAGTATCTAATATCTTTACCATGATCTTTCCCATTCTTGAGAACTGTTACATTCCCTATGTTGCTTTCAAGTGGCAGTGACAGAAGAGCAGCAGCATATCAACGTGGTAGGGCAGCATCAGCCCACAACTATGTTTTAAATGTTTTCCTTTGATGGTCAGCAATGCAATATAGGAGCTCCTAAACCATACATCTACCCTTATCTGCTCTTCCACTGTCTGCTTTGTGCCTTGTGTTGGCCCACAAGTGCATCTGCTGGGAGCAGGGGCTCCTCCCTTCCGGCTTTCTGGAAGGTGTCACATGGAAGAGACAGGTGGGACACAGAACGACGCGGGCGGCCCTGGGTTTGGAGAGATAGGACAGCCTTGGTGATCACTTTCAAGGAGATCTTTTCTCTCTGAGTATGAAACTGCTCTATGATGGGCAAACTGAATAAACAACTTCTTTCTAGAATTTTGCAAAAAAGAAAAAAAAAGAAAAATAAGAAAAATGGAAGTTAAAAGTGGAATGAGAGGAATTGGTGCAGGACCAGCACGTTCCTGTTTTCCACCCATGCTGGATTAGCTGGTATTGAGACAGAACTGGAGTTTAATGCTCCGACAGCTCCTGATGCAAGGGCTGATCACATTTATTGTAAAGAGGAGACTCAGGACCAAATGCTGAATTGTCACACTGAGCTCACTGTAGTTTAAATGCTGCAATTTTGTGTGCATCCACACTGTGAGGTATCACAAGGAGAGCATTATTGAACCTGCAGTCCAGAGAGTCTGGGACATTTGTCAGGTAAATAAAGCAAATGCAAATATAGACACGGAATATTTTATAATTGGCCACCATCTCTGGTGGGCCAATTATTCAGTTTTGGTCTTCTGCAAGCCCAAGCATCACAGAAATCTTTGGATAACATTTGACTTCTAAGTGGTTTTTTTTTCCTTTTTATGGTCAGTTGGTTTGTCTGGTTTGCTTTTTCTGCTGTTTAGCTTTGCATTGTGTATGGGGCCAAAGGTGTGGTCTAAAGATGGGAAGAGAGATGGCTGAATTTATTAGAATTGCTTGGTTAAAAACTTGTCAGTCTCATTCAGTGGTGATTTGCCAACAAGCACAATGCAAAGGAAGAGGTTTATTTGTCATTTATTTGTATGTGCTTGAAGGTTGGTGTTACCAGTTTTGACATTCCTTCATTAAATGAATAGGGAAAATAAACTGATCCAGAAATGCAAACTGAATTTACAGAGAAATGTCTTAATTCTGATAGAGGAGAAGGAAAGATTATCTTGAAATGGACAAAATTATTATACATTTTTAGTGCTTTTCTCAATAATTAATTTATCTGAGCAGAAGTCTTCAATTTTAGTATTAATGAGAATTTAATAAGCCTATTAGTTTTCTTATAACTTTAACTGAACTTGCATTAATCTCAAACATTCACATACTTAGTACTACAAATCTCAACCAACTTATTTGACTTAGTGCTACCATATGTGTGGGAGCTGGCATGTGTCTGTCAGATAGTGTCAAGTACAGTATCCTCAACATACAGGTCAGTCTGACATTCTTCATCTAATAGTTAACCCCACTAAGCTCTGCAATTGATCCAAAGCAGTAAGATTGGTTTGACATTGCAACTTCTGCTTTTACCTCAATTTCCTTCTTTCCTGAATAGTCTGCTAATTGAACACAGTGAATAGAAGGATGATTTCTCTTCTATGCAATTTTAACATTTGCGCTCAGATTTCTCTCAGTAACTTTAAGTTGTTCTCCTTAAGTCTTTAAGGCATGAATCTGCTTTCTCCACAACTTAGACTGTGTAACACTTTCTTCCTTATTCCCTTTCACTTTCCTTTTCCTACAACAGAGCTGTTGAGCCAAAGCAAATTTCTTGCTTCTGCAACCTAAAGACTCTGACTCACATGCCTCACAGCAGACATCTGCAACATTTTGGGGCAGCTCTGTTTCCTGGGAAATGTCTCTGTTGGATGTGGCCCTTCGCTTCATATGGGAGCAAACAGGAAGACTGACCTTTCCCTGTGGTGGCATTTCCCAGTCTGGAGTATCAGCTTACACAGAGCCTCCAGAGCTTGGGCTCAGCATGTTTATTATCCAATTATTCCCTAAGGAACTGTAAGGCTGGGGTGTGATAAGACTGCCACAAAGCAGGTATGGCAGATGCACTTGACAGGGACTCAGCGAATGGGTTCCTACAGAGGCCACATTCTTTTAATATCAAAGGGCAAAGGCAGCTGTTAGGTGAGCTGGTCAAAGGAAGACACTCAGTAGCTAAGTGAGAAACCCACCCCTTGCTAAATGCACAAACAGGATTAACAACTCTAAAGCACAAAAATAACCCTTCTACATTTACAGGTAAAAATCCTGGATATTAAGGGCCAGATAATTCATTTATCCCATAGATCCTGACCCATAGACAGACAGTGCATCTGCAGGCTTTCAGGTTAGTGCTCTGCCTCACTAACTGCTGGTGCTGGAGATCTCCAAGGAAGCTGATCGATGCTGATGCTGTAGGGGAAGCAAACACCCTCCAGACCCAAACACCAACATTGACTGGTGTGAGGGGGCAGGCAACAGACCGGATTCCTTTTTCTCTCTACTTTGGAAAGATGCATACTTTACAAAAGGGAGCTGTAGTCTACAAAGGAAGGTAATTCGTGCACATATCACTACATACATATTTAATTTTTTCCTTTTCCGGCATCTGTCATAGCTTTAATATTGCTATATAGATAGGATCTGGAGAAGCCTAGATTTGATCTCGAGAAGCCTAGGGTTGCCCACAAGGCTTTCCAGCTGTTTAAGACACTTTGCAATGGTACATCCTTTGGCAACACTACTCATAATCTGGTTTTGTTGCTCCAAGGCAGAAGTGTAGCACTATCACAATCTATCTTGGGCTTTTAAAGGTTGAGTATGGGCACCATATTCCCTGGCAAAGGAGAAAGAAGTGGCAACTGGTACAAAAAGTGTTAAAATAAATGTGGCCACATACTGTTTCACAAGCAGCAATGGTGTAATCTGCCATGAAACACCATGTGTGCTATCAACCACAAGGAGGCAGGATGATGGTGTTTATGTGAGCAGAGAGAATTTCACAAAGAGTTTTGCACCCATCCTTGAAGGGAATCTCTTCGGAATCATTGAAGACAAATGCACTGTTCTCAGTTAAACTGCCAGATGCAGTATTGAAAATTCTTAAAATATAATTGAATTAGGAGATTAGTGTTCAGGTATTTAGATAGAGCATCAAAAAAAACGGAGAAAAAAAATCTTGTAGTCTTGCACCTGAACACTACTTGAAATACCACTCAGGAGAGCAGTTTATGGGTTCTTCCTTCCAAAGAGTCTTCAGACGCTGGGTCCAGGCAGCCAACATCTCCTTCCTCTTCTCCTCAGAGACATTCTCTGGAGCATAACAGATGTGAGGTTCAAGGACTTTGACACCACAGAAGTGCATGATTCCATGCTGGATGCAAAACAAAGAAAGAAATGCCTCAGGAAATACTTACTCTTACTTTCCTTTGAAGAACATGGAAGATTCAAATCTGTTGTGTTTCTCTCATCTGATATCAGCCAGGTTCTCTAAACCTGTGCGTTTATCAGGCAAAGGAAAATAAAGTGCAGAAGTTCACCACCTATCCAGACAGACATTATTGAAGGCATTCAGCAGAATAGCACACAAGATACTGAAACAGCAACTTCATTTACTCTGCTCTGTGGAATTTATTTTTAACTGCTGTTAATTCCACAGAATTTTCCTCTTTGGCAGCTGTTCACTGTTCAGTTTGCAAGGATCACAGGAGGCCAAAAGTTCATTGTTCAGTTTGAAACTCCTCAGATGGGTCTCTAACTGCAGTGCTCCACATCTACTTCTAAATTTTTTTTTTGTTAAACTTTTTCCCTCTGGCTTAGCCAAAGGTTCCTGTAGGAAGACTAGTACCCGTGGAAACAGCTCAACTTGCCATTTTCCCTCTGTGTGTTTCTGAATTTAGAGCTGTGTTTCACATTTTTGCCGTGTTGAACTGCAAGCTCTGCAGTTGGACAGCTCCACAGGAGCAGGCAGCTGATAACAGCGTGGGGAGGAGACCATGGAATTTTGTATCTGGAAGAAGCTGGCAAAACTTGCCTTACCACCTGTATTTCCCAAACCATGCTGGGTACTTCTGAAAAAAGAGTATCAATTAGAAGAGGAATGCTAACAGTATACAACCTGCAGATCCCTGGAACTGACAATCTGAATATTAACTATTATATTTCATATTTAAAAAATACCCAATAAAGCAATTGTTAAAAATAGCCGGAATAATAAAAAATTATATAGACAATAACCAAATGTTCATATATTATACCTGCATGGGCCACAGGACATAGCGAATATCACCACCAATACCTTCTTTTGAATATATCTCTTGGCTTACTCCCGTGGTGAAAGAAAACAGGGATAACTTGTCCTAGAATTAGGAAAGTTGTGGTTAATTAAGACATATTTAAAGAGGAGTGCCTGAATGGTTCAAGAGATATTCAGGTAAACCTGGACAGAATGGATTTCTAGGGGAGAGGGTGACTTCTTCTTTCCCAGACCTTACATGAAGTGGCAGTTCTGAGGCAAAGATTGATGTCATACAATTAGACAGTGTCTTTGGAAAGACAGAGATTAAAGAAAAGGAATTATGTGTCTGACACCCTTGTGTGAAGTAGGGCTGATACACTACTTCAACATAGTGTAAAGTGAGAGCTGTAAACAGCTACAATGGAAAAGAATGAACAAGGACCCATAGAACATGGTGCAAGCCTTGACCTTAGTAAAACAATTCCAAAAACATACCTGGAGCAAACCACCATCATAAATCTTTGAGAAATCGTAAGCAAAGCCTTGGACCAAGACTCTGTCCATCCAGCCCTTCAGGATTGCAGGCATGTTGAACCAAAACAAGGGGAACTAGGCAAAGAGAAAATGACCTGGTTAGCACAGAGAGTCTGGGCCACCCTTAGGCCAGGTTTATAGGACAAATCCTGTCCTCTGAACCTACTCAGATCCTGTATGTATCTTCTCCAGCTCTCTGTCAATAGAGGTAGTAACTATGCCTGGCAAAAGAAGCTGAAGTGCTTTCTGTTTGTGGTAAGCCACAGGGCCAGACTTGAGTATCTGCAGCACACCAACATTGTGGTGCATGTGAGGGCTTCCATCCAGAATAAAGTTGTAATGTGATGAATTGGAGGGTGCAATTTAATTTTGATTTAAGACTGTACAGAATCATGTCTCCTATGGCTGAAACAGAAAAGAAACTACTATTGTATTAGCAGGATTGACATCTGGCGATCAGTTCTGATCTGACAGTCAGCTGACAAATGCCAGGGCATCATAGGAAAGACTTATTTTCAAAGCCTGCCAACATTATGCCACCAAACCTTGTCTAAAGCCAACAGGAACACAGAGAAATGTAAGGCTGCTACTTCCCTCCACAGTACTTTGTGATTTGTAGACACTGGGGACAGAGCTAGCATAGTGGAGAATAGAGATGGGTTGTAAAGCTCTGTTATCAATTCCCAGTGGTGTTTCTGCAACTCAACAACAAATGAAAACAGTCAACTTGGGAGAAAGCCCAATTCTCTGATTTGCTGGCTGCCCCCAGCTCCTTGCCCAGGAAATAATCCTTCCTCTGCTTTCTGCCTGCCTGCTATCCACGGTCACGTAAGTCTTTGTGCATCTACCAGGAAGTTTGTCCCAGTGTTGGGGAGTTCCTGGGGTTGCTGTTGTTTCAACCTGCATCATTGTGCTACTCAATTACTGGATTTACTGTAGTAATGACCCAGATAATTGTACTACTGATCTCTAGTTTCTACTGTACCATTTACCTAAAGTCAACATCACAACTGAATTCTGTTTAAAATAATGACCTGAAAAATCAGCAGGTCTGCTTCCCGCACTTTCTTCTGCTCTTCAACCAGGTCTTTGGACAAACATCCTCTCTTGTAAGCTTCCCAGGTTTCCACACCATAATTGAACGCTTCTGAGTTGTGCAGGTGACCTGTGGGTAGAATTGAAAAGTCATTCCTTGCCCCCTGTGCAGTATCAGTGCCAGATAAGGGTTGAATGCAGGTTGCCATTCACAGTTCTAAACTGAGTTAACTACTTTCCATTTTTCCCACTTTTTGTCTTTGTTGGATATTCAGCATCAACCCAGCTGATGGTCACCTGATTTTAAAAAGGAGAGGAACATAGGATCTGAGAGTTCCAAAGCTTCATCTTCCTGTAGCAACACAGGAAGTGCAATATGAGGACCTAAGCTTGCCTCAGGACTCTGGGGATGCAGGTGCAAGATTTAAGAGAATGTTGTGAATTGTTCTGCCTTTGCCTTAGGGCTTGCTGAGGCCATCCTGCACTTGTAAGCACTATGGAGCTGCTTTCCGGCCTCTGTAACTGGGACATTCACCAAGGGATGGGGAACCAGTATTGGGAATCAGCTCTACTGATTCCACTAGCAGATCATCAGTCTCTAGCAGAAGACAGGGGCAGTTGTAGCCTCGTGAGCTAAACTGTAGCAAGTCCCAGAAGGGCATCTGATGGCATTTCCTCTCCATCGGAAACGGTCTCTGGAGGCTGATTATGGACACATGCTAATGTCTTTTTTCCTGTCAGTAATTTCACTGTGATACAAATTTCATGCTCAGGAGTGGACCAGAAAGGCAGATGTCTGGTCATGGATAAGTTTCTTATTAATGAATTTTGTTTCTTACTAATCTCTTGAGCATCTGATGGCTGGAGCACCTCTCCTATCAAGACAGAATGAGAGTTGGGGTTGTTCAGCATGGGAAAGATTTCAGGGAGAGTTTCTTCAGCCTTCTGACACCTGAAGGGGGTCTTACAAGCCACTGGTTTTTGAGAGAGGCATATTTTGGCTGGGCTCACCAACAATGTCATTCCTTGTTGCTCTGGGCTCAAACTGCATGGCGTATAAATCCGACACGGTGACACTGCAGCCCTGCTTGGTCAGCTCTTCCACAGCAATCTTCAACAAAGATCCATTGAAGGACTTGGGCTCTTGATGTGCATACACTATCAGGACTTTTTTCCCTGGAGGCAGAAAGAAAACCAGGAGATCATTGGGAATCCAGGATGCAGGTGCAGAACAGTTTGTGGAGTAGGGGCTCATTCCTTGCTCCTTCTGTGGTGTATTTTCCCAAGGACACAGAAGCAGTGAAAGCAGAGTGACAGTGGCAGCATTTGACTCCTGCTCAGCAGCACTGAGTGACCCCTGAGGCCCTGATTGCTGCGTGTGCCCAGCCCAGCAACTCTGTGCTACACTGGGCTTTCCTAGGTGGAGCTCAGTGGATAGAGGGGGTGCTCCATATCAGGTCACGCTGCCCTACATCAGCACAATGCACCCCTTCTCTTGAGACAACATTTCTGTTGGTCTGGTTCCACTACCATCCAAAAAGCATTGCCAGATAGATTGCCCGAATATATACTTGAAACAACATCTTAGAGGTTAGAACACCTTCCTACCACAGTGGTGGTTCCCTTCCTGATCTTTCATTTCAGTGCTGTGCAAGTTACAACACTGGCGTAGGGATTAAAGATGCTCCTGTCCCACCTCAGCACAATCACAGTGACTTCTGTAGAGAGCAACAGGGTTTTTTTTTCTCAGAGATTAGATTCTTATGTGTATTTCAAACTGTTGTCAATGTGGATCCAAGGTAAACTGAGTGCCCAGGCAGTTGTGTAGGTATGAAATATCTGAGAGGCATGTAACAAGACACTGCTCAAAGAGCTCCATGGTGTGCTTTATTAAGCATGGGTCCTACAATTTTAATAATTCTCTTAAAAATCATTCATCAGTGAAACAAAGGAAAGATTTTCTATGGGGCTGTTGTTGTTTATAGATAACCAGAGAGGGAAATTTACAGGGACTATTGAAAATGACAGGGGTTGCAGAACATGCAGGTCTTGCTTCCTGACTGCCAACACAAAAGCTCAGGCATCTCCTGAACTCAGTTTCTCTGTGGCACAGCTTCTGGATATGGGTACCTAATGTCTATGAAAGAAGAGGTATGCAAAAAAGACTATTAAAACTTGCAGGTCAAATGCTATCATAAATTCAATGTGTCTATAAGCTCTTTAAATCCCTGCTCCTTACCCTACTCCGGAATTTCAGGAGCAGTTACAACTTCGCTGTTTCTGCCAGACCTCAACAAATACAGCTCAGTGATTGTATGTTATCAAAAGCTCCAAAAGTTGCTAAGCTTGATTATGCAAAAATGCTGATTTGTTTCCATTTCAGTGGAGCTGAGGGCACTTGGGCAAAGGGTTTGGAGAGACTGGAGTTTTCCAAGGCATCACTTACTGAGGTAATGTCAGTCTTTTGGAAAAGTAAGACCTCAGTGTCCCAAAGGCCCAGAGGCCTCATCCCTGAGGCACCCAGCGCCCAGGGCTGGAGCGAGCAGCATTTTCACACGGATTTGCTCTTACCTGCCATTGCTGGGGAGCGCTGGGGAGCTTCACTCTTGATAATCTGGTGCTGCCTGAGAACTCAAGTAAGAGACTGGCGGTGAGAAACATCCGGAACGGGTGCGAGGGGAATCGCTGTTCCAGCGGAGATGCGCCGTGGTGTGACTGCGGGCACTCACGCAGAGCCGGGCACTGGCCAAGCGCGGCCGCCGGAGCGGAGGGGAGCCGCCGGCTCTCGGCCCGGGCCTGGAGCAGGAATTCTCCTCCGGCTGCCCGCGGCACGGCCGCCTCGGCCCGGGCTGCGGCGGGCACACGGCGCCGCTCCCGGTCCCGTGCCGCCCTATGTAAAGCGGCTGCGGCTCAGCCCCGGCGCCCCGCTCCCGGCGCAGCCCGGGCTGCCCTTACCTGCTCCCGGGGCCCGCCGCACGTGTGCGCGGGGCTGGACCGGCCCTTCCCGGCGGCCCCGCTGCCGTCGCCCCGGGCCCTGGGCAGCGCCAGAGCGGGGCGGGACCGGGATCGGCACCGCCCGCCGCTCCGGGTCCGCCGCTGTGACAGCGTGTGACACCTGCATCATCTCTGGATATTTTTGTTTATTCTGGGTCTCTGCTCTTCTCCAAGTACAGAGCTCGTCCTTCATTCCTATCAGCAATGCAGTATAGAACTCCTAAACCATACATCTACCCTTATCTGCTCTTCCAGGGATGGCACTGTCTGCTTTGTGCCATGTGTTGGCCCACACGTGCATCTGCTGGGAGCAGGGGCTCCTCCCTTCCGGCTTTCTGGAAGGTGTCGCATGGGAAAGACAGGTGGGACACAGAAGGTTGCGGGCGGCCCTGGGTTTGGGGAGATAGGATAGCCTTGGTAATCACTTTCAAGGAAAACTTTTCTCTCTGAGTATCAAAACTGCTCTATGATGGGCAAACTGAATAAACAGCTTCGTTCTGAGACCTTAGGAAAAAGAAGAAAGAAAAAAAAAAAACCAAACCCAATAAACAAAACAAACCACCACCACTACCAACAAACAGAAACAGAAACAAAACAAAACAAAACAAAACCCAAACCAAACCAAACCCTCCCCCCAAAAACCCCCCAAAAACCCCAAAACCGAGTGCAGTCGTTTTCCCTGGAAAAAAAAGTTGACAGTGGAGCAAGTAGAACTGATGCAGGACCAGCACATTCCTGTTTTCCACCCATGCTGGATTAGCTGGTATTGAGACAGAACTGGAGTTTAATGCTCCGACAGCTCCTGATGCAAGGGCTGATCACACTTACTGTGAAGAGGAGACTCAGGACCAAATGCTGAATTGTCACACTGAGCTCACTGTAGTTTAAATGCTGCAATTTTGTGTGCATCCACACTGTGAGGTATCACAAGGAGAGCATTATTGAACCTGCAGTCCAGAGAGTCTGGGACATTTGTCAGGTAAATAAAGCAAATGCAAATACAGATGTGGTATCTCTGGTGGGCCAACTGTGGAGTTTTGATCTTTTCCTGCCGTCCCAAGCATTACAGGAAGCTTTTGATAACATTTGACTTCTGAGTTTTCTTTTGGTTTGTTTTTCTAATTTTGAGATTTGTATTTATTTATGGGGCTGAAGGCAGTAAGAGAGATGGCTGAATTTATTAGAATTGCTTGATTCAAAAGGTATAAATCTCATTCAATGTGGTTTTTCCAGCATGTACTAGGTAAAGAAAAGGGAGTTATTGGCATCTATTTACATGTGTTTAGAGGTCACACCTTTGACATGTAGCTGTTTTTGTTTGTTTGTTTGTTTGTTTTTTGTTTGCTGTTTTTTGTGTGGGTTTTTTGTTTTTTGTTTGGTTTTTTTTTTTTTTTTTTTTTTTGCCAGCAGGATGAAAACTACTGTGTGTGAAATTTGCAGGTTTCATTGCACCGCTGGAAAAATTGTAGGGACTGATGAATAAATAGCATCAAATCATCTCACCATGCTAGACCAAATGGTTACCAATGGTAACCAAATGGTTTCCTTGTCCCTTAATCTTAACTAAAAATCCAATCACAGTAAGCTTGTGCCATAATGGGATGGTGACTTTGTACCTGTTTTCCTTGTATTAACTTTAAGGGCTGTATAGTAGCAGTAAACTTTGCCAACAAAGGTTTAATTTTTAAGTCTCTTTCCTCTCCTCCTGTGGTTTGCAGCCAGGTATCTCTTTAGAGACTTTTTCCTCTCCATTTCACTAATGAATTTTAAGATCTGTAGCAATCTGAGTGTGTTTGTTCTCTGGCTGTCTCTGGCTTAACACATTGCCTGGCCCAGCAAGAATGAGTGCTCTCTCACACAGGAGGTTTCCAGCTCAGGAGATGACTCAATGCTAGAAAATTAATTCTGGGCTCTATACCCTGTCCAGAACTCTGGGGAGGGGGATCATCAGCGGGCAAAAGTAAAGTATTTTTCCTAGTATTTCTGAGGAAGTACTTGTCTATAGTTTTTGCGTTATCTACCTTTTAATCTAAAAGTAAAGCATTATCTGGTCTGATTGATCCCCCTGCTGTCAAACAGCCACAAAGATATTATGCTGTAGAGGTGATTTTAGAGAAAGAAGCTGTGATCTTAGGTAATTTTGCATTATCTGTGCACCAAAACGCATATTGTGTTTCTCAAAACCCTCAGAGAACTGAGGTAGTAGAAACTGCAGCAACTAACAGAGATGATGCTTGTGGAGAAGGGTTGCATCCCCCTGGGCAGTGTGAATGGAGAATGGGAGGCTCCAAGGGCCTTGGGAACCACTGTGGTTGGTGACTGACTGCAGCCACAACTTTTCACTGCAGTTAAATTCAAAAGAGCACTACCTGACATTTCCCATAGATGCTGAGCAGTGGCCTAGCAACAGATGGCAGAAATACAAGGGTGTATGTGTAGAGAGGATTGAGAGAGGATTGACATTGAGAGGATTTTATTTGCTCTTGGATTCTTACTGAGTTCCAGTGAAGAATCACCTTTGCTCTGTATGTCTCACTGGGGTACTGTATTTGCAGTTGTGGCAATCTGTTATGTGGACAAGATGGTTAGGTCTTGGTTTATTCTCTCTGTTGGATGTCAAGAAAATGCTTTCTCATTTCATCAAGGGAAATTCAGAGAAAGCTGTGGGGCATTTTTGGCTCCACAGTCCTGGGGAAGAATGTAGTCTTTTGTCTCCTTCCTGAGTTTTTAAAATATATCAGAATTCCCGTGTATGCAAGCCGCATGAAACTGAGTATTTTAATACTCTTAGAATGATGAGACAATTATCCAGCACTGACTTGAGTGTAGCATCAGCTTAAATTCTTTGCATCTCTTCTGTAGAATATAGTCTCTTTAGGCTTTAAGCTATCTAATAACACAGTAGGATTTTTCTTAAAAAAAAAAAAAGAAATTAAAAGAAGTAGTACTTGCATTGTGCATGGTATTAGTTATTGGCCGTTTCTCTCTTCAGCACAAACTTTTGATGAATAATGTATTACAAAGTATATTCCTCTGCAAGCAGGCAGCTCACCGCAGTGATGTTGCTTCAGGAACCAAATATTAAACCACAGAATGAACTACACCACCTTAAATGTCAGGTTTTTTGAAACCTGAATTAAAAGCACCTTACTGCAAGACATCAGTCTTGGTTTCTTTAGGCTATGAGGCTTCTTGGTAACATTATTCAGATGAGTATCTTTTTGTTTTCTTCTATTGTTCTCCAATTGCAAGCATGTTTGACCTGCCATTTCAGAACACCAAACAAAAGAAATACCATAATGATTTCTGGAAAAAAATTGTTGTAGAAAAAGATCAGACCACTGCTTAGATATCCGTGGGAAAGCAGGACCACCAGCAACAAAAAACAAATACCCAGACTAAATGGAAGTGGAAAGCATGTTCCTTTATACCTTTCTCCCAACCCGAAGTGCAGCTACAAGTTACTCACCTGATTCTAGCTCCATTCTCATGAAATCAATGCTGGTTTGGCAGGGTGACATTTGACTTTTAGCATAATGTGATTTAGAATTATTCTTTAGTTCAAAATGCCTGTAATACTTCCAGTGCTGCTAAGACAGCAATGCTGGCACTTCTTTTCTTTCTAATTACTAAGCACAAAGGAGTCTCTGTTGGTTTTCTATGTGATAAAATTCCCCCAAGTTTTGGAAAGGCATGTGTCAGAACACACATGCAGCCCAGCACAATGCCCTGCATAGCACACACTAAAAGCACATCAGGACAAGGACAATAACTCTTGGCTCAGCACCCACTGCCACTGCACAGCTGATGGCTTCCAAAGCATTGCAACAGCAGCACTCTTGTGGAATCTGAAAACTTTGTCTCACATGCCCCACAGCAGACATCTGCAACTGCTTGGGGCAGCTCTGCTTCCTGCGTCCCTGCTGGATGTGGCCCTTCACTTCATATAGGAGCAAACTGGAACAGGTGACTGGTGTGAGAGGGCAGGAAAAAACTAGGATTCCATTTTGTCTCTACAAAGGGTAATCAAAACAGAGAAGTCAATTTGATTTTAGGAAGTTGCATACTTTACAAATGGAAGTTGTAGTCTACAAAGAAAGGCAATTCATGCATATACCAATATACAAAATTTGCAATTTTTTTCACCTTTCTGGTATCTGTTATGGCTTTAACATTGCTTTGTAAATATGTCTGAAATCCTGGGGCTGCTCACGAGGCTCTCCACCTGTGTAAGACACTTTGCAATACTACATCCTTTTGCAACACTACTCATAATCTGGTTTTGTTGCTCCAAGGCAAAAGCTCTCACAACCAATGACAAGTGACTTTGAAATGACAAGTTGGGTATGGGCAAAATATTCCCTGATGAAGGAAAAGAAGTGTTAAAATAAACTTGGCCATGTACTGTACTGTTTGACAAGCAGCAATGGTATAATCTGCCATGAAATATCATGTGTGCTATCAACCACAAGGAGGCAGGATAACACCGTTTATATGAGCAAGGAGAACAAAAACAGTTTTGCACCCATCCTTGAAGGGAATCTCTTGGGAATCATTGAAGACAAATGCACTGTTCTCAGTTAAACTGCTAGATGCAGTATTGAAAATTCTTAAAATATAATTGAATTAGGAGATTAGTGTTCAGGTATTTAGATAGAGCATCAAAAAGAATGGAGGAAAAAAAAATCTTGTAGTCTTGCACCTGAACACTACTTGAAATACCACTCAGGAGAGCAGTTTATGGGTTCTTCCTTCCAAAGAGTCTTCAGACGCTGGGTCCAGGCAGCCAACATCTCCTTCCTCTTCTCCTCAGAGACATTCTCTGGAGCATAACAGATGTGAGGTTCAAGGACTTTGACACCACAGAAGTGCATGATTCCATGCTGGATGCAAAACAAAGAAAGAAATGCCTCAGGAAATATTTACTCTTACTTTCCTTTGAAGAACATGGAAGATTCAAATCTGTTGTGTTTCTCTGATTCGATATCAGCCAGGTTCTCTAAACCTGTGCATTTATCAGGAGAAGGAAAATGAATTGCTATTAAACACACAGGACTGTCCTCTTTGGATGCTGTACGGTGTTCAAGTTGCAAGGATAAGGGACAGTCTGAAGTCCATTGTTTTGTTTGAACCTCCTCAGATTGTTCCTGAACTGCAGTGTGTTTCACATCTACTTCCATGTTGATTTCCTGGATTTTTTTTTTTTTTTTTTTTTTTTGGTCTTTTAAGATTTTGCCTCTGGCTTAGCCATATGATCCTGCATAAAGGCTAGTGCCTGTGGAAGTTCAGCTTGCCATTTTCTCTCTGTATGTTTCTGAATGTAGAGTTGTGTTTCATGTTTTTGTCACATTTAGTTGTGAACTGTGCAGCTGGACAGCTCCTCAGGGGTAAGGAGCTGGTAACTTCAGTGGGAAGGAGACTATGGCATCATTGACAAATTGGGTAACCACGGCGAACAGAAATCCTGCATGCTAAAGCTAAAGGAAATCCTCTAACAGGAGACACACTGGAAAAGCTGACAGCAGAAGCTTTCCCCAGATTGCAAGCTGAAGGAAGGGGGACAAAACAGCTTTAAAACTCTATGGACCTTTGAAGTAATCTCAAGATTTTAGAGTCGAATTTATAACCTGCAGATGCTTGGAGCAGGCAACTTAATTACTTCTTATTATGTTTTGTATAAAATAAACAATAAAACAATTGTTTATAAATAGCTGGAATAGTAAAAGTTAAAGCTAACAATAACCAAATATTCATATATTATACCTGCATGGGCCATAGGAGATAGCGAATATCACCTCCGATTGCAAACTTCTCTTTGCTTCCTCCCGTAGTGAAAGAAAACAAGGATAGTTTGTCCTAGAATTAGGAAAGTGGTGCTTGAGTTAGACATATTTAAAGAAGAGTGGCTGAATAGTTCCAAAGATATTTGGGGGAACCTGGACAGCATGAATTTCTAGAGGAGGGGGTGTCCACTTTCTCCCCAGATATTCCAAGGACTGGCAATTCTGAGGCAAAGATTGATGTCATATAATTACATCAATGGACTGAGTGTTTAGGCTTTGGGCAGAGATGGGTTAAAAAGAAAATAAATTATGTGTCTGACACCCTTGTGTGAAGGAGGGCTGATCCTTTTTCTTCCTTATGCAACAGTTGGAAAACTGTCTCTGGAAAGCCCTCTGTTACTATGAAAAATTCTATTCCTGTCCTCTGCAGAAATTTTTTGCCAAAAACGCCCTTCAAACTTGGGCTTGCTTAACCACATGTTTCTTCTGCTCCTGTGATTATGGTATTAGCCAGGTGCTCAGCTTCTCTCATCTCAGTTTGAGCTTCTGTAATTGAACTAACATTTTTCCAGTGCAGTATCCCAAATGTCTTGAGCCTGTACTCCATCTGCAGCTGGGATCATTGGGGATTATACCTATTTATGTCAGTGAGGTAGCCATTTCTAAAATGTAAAGAAATTTAAATATTTGACATTCTTAAGAACATCTGAACTAACAGAGATTAACATGCAGTGAAATAAATTGAAACTAATATTGACTGTTTTTTGATGCTGCATTTGTTATCAAATAAGATCTATCAGAGATAGTGGGCCAGAATTTTCAGGGATATTCTCAGTGCTGTGGGGAGTTAAAAATGTGTGAATTGACAATGAGAGATACTGCTCATGTCAAATTAAAAGCTACAGAGAGGAAAAGGTTCAGAGTAGATAGTTGTGACAGAGGCTCACACTCTGAGTATTTCAGACTTCTGATTAAGTTTTATAGTTCAAGTCCAACCTTTGACACCTAATCCCAGAACAGGACTTTGACACCTAGCATGTCAATCATTACAGGTAAGAGCAGTGCTATAGTCGCAGGAGGACTGTAGTTATAGAAAGCAGATTGATATAAACCATTTGCAAGCTGTATGCTACCACAGTATACTCTTATACTCCTAACAAATTATAAAACCCACATAGTTGGCCAATAAAGGTCTTTAGGAGATAGTGTAAATCTTTAGGAAATGCTGCAGTGTCCTTATTTTCTTACCCTCCAGACTGTGTTAAAAACCCAGAAAATCACTCAAAATGTTACCAAAGCATTATTTCAAAGCAGTGAAAAGTGAGAGCTGTAAACAGCTACAATGGAAAAGAATGAACAAGGACCCATAGAACACGATGCAAGCCTTGACCTTAGTAAAACAATTCCAAAAACATACCTGGAGCAAACCACCATCATAAATCTTTGACAAATCGTAAGCAAAGCCTCGGACCAAGACTCTGTCCATCCAGCCCTTCAGGATTGCAGGCATGTTGAACCAAAACAAGGGGAACTAGGCAAAGAGAAAATGACCTGGTTAGCACAGAGAGTCTGGGCCACCCTTAGGCCAGGTTTATAGGACAAATCCTGTCCTCTGAACCTGCTCAGATCCTGTATGTACCTTCTCCAGCTCTCTGTCAGTAGAGGTAGTAACTATGCCTGGCAAAAGAAGCTGAAGTGCTTTCTTCTGTTTGTGGTAAGCCACAGGGCCAGACCTGAGTATCTACAGCACACCAACATTGTGGTGCATGTGAGGGCTTCCATCCAGAATAAAGTTGTAATGTGATGAATTGGAGGGTGCAATTTAATTCTGATTTAAGACTGTACAGAATCATGTCTCCTATGGCTGAAACAGAAAAGAAACTACTATTGTATTAGCAGGATTGACATCTGGTGATCAGTTCTGATCTGACAGTCTGCTGACAAATGCCAGGGCATCATAGGAAAGACTTATTTTCAAAGCCTGCCAACATTATGCCACCAAACCTTGTCTAAAGCCAACAGGAACACAGAGAAATGTAAGGCTGCTACTTCCCTCCACAGTACTTTGTGATTTGTAGACACTGGGGACAGAGCTGGCATAGTGGAGAATAGAGATGAGTTGTAAAGCTCTGTTATCAATTCCCAGTAGTGTTTCTGCAACTCAGCAACAAATGAAAACAGTCAACTTGGGAAAGCCCAATTCTCTGATTTGCTGGCTGCCCCCAGCTCCTTGCCCAGGAAATAATCCTTCCTCTGCTTTCTGCCTGCCTGCTATCCACGGTCACATAAGTCTTTGTGCATCCACCAGGAAGTTTGGCCCAGTGTTGGGGAGTTCCTGGGGTTGCTGTTGTTTCAACCTGCATCATTGTGCTACTCAGTTACTGGATTTACTGTAGTAATGACCCAGATAATTGTACTACTGATCTGTAGTTTCTACTGTACCATTTACCTAAAGTCAACATCACAACTGAATTCTGTTTAAAATAATGACCTGAAAAATCAGCAGGTCTGCTTCCCGCACTTTCTTCTGCTCTTCAACCAGGTCTTTGGACAAACATCCTCTCTTGTAAGCTTCCCAGGTTTCCACACCATAATTGAACGCTTCTGAGTTGTGCAGGTGACCTGTGGGTAGAATTGAAAAGTCATTCCTTGCCCCCTGTGGAGTATCAGTGCCAGATAAGGGTTGAATGCAGGTTGCCATTCACAGTTCTAAACTGAGTTAACTGCTTTCCATTTTTCCCACTTTTTGTCTTTGTTGGATATTCAGCATCAACCCAGCTGATGGTCACCTGATTTTAAAAAGGAGAGGAACATAGGATCTGAGAGTTCCAAAGCTTCATCTTCCTGTAGCAACACAGGAAGTGCAATATGAGGACCTAAGCTTGCCTCAGGACTCTGGGGATGCAGGTGCAAGATTTAAGAGAATGTTGTGAATTGTTCTGCCTTTGCCTTAGGGCTTGCTGAGGCCATCCTGCACTTGTAAGCACTATGGAGCTGCTTTCTGGCCTCTGTAACTGGGACATTCACCAAGGGATGGGGAACCAGTATTGGGAATCAGCTCTACTGATTCCACTAGCAGATCATCAGTCTCTAGTAGAAGACAGGGGCAGTTGTAGCCTCATGAGCTAAACTGTGGCAAGTCCCAGAAGGGCATCTGAAGGCATTTCCTCTCCATGAGAAATGGTCTCTGGAGGCTGACTATGGACACGTGCAAATGTCTTTTTTCCTGTCAGTAATTTCACTGTGATACAAAGTTCATGTTCAGGAGTGGACTTTTAGAAATGCAGATGTCTGGTCATGGATAAGTTTCTTATTAATGAATTTTGTTTCTTACTAATCTCTTGAGGATCTGATGGCTGGAGCACCTCTCCTATCAAGACAGAATGAGAGTTGGCATTGCTCAGCATGGGAAAGATTTCCGGGAGAGTTTCTTCAGCCTTCTGACACCTGAAGGGGGTCTTACAAGTCACTGGTTTTTGAGAGAGGCATATTTTGGCTGGGCTCACCAACAATGTCATTCCTTGTTGCTCTGGGCTCAAACTGCATGGCGTATAAATCCGACACGGTGACACTGCAGCCCTGCTTGGTCAGCTCTTCCACAGCAATCTTCAACAAAGATCCATTGAAGGATTTGGGCTCTTGATGTGCATACACTATCAGGACTTTTTTCCCTGGAGGAAGAAAGAAAACCAGGAGACCATTTGGAATCCAGGAGGCAGGTGCAGAACAGTTTGTGGAGTAGGGGCTCATTCCTTGCTCCTTCTGTGGTGTATTTTCCCAAGGACACAGAAGCAGTGAAAGCAGAGTGACAGTGGCAGCATGTGACTCCTGCTCAGCAGCACTGAGTGACCCCTGAGGCCCTGATTGCTGCGTGTGCCCAGCCCAGCAATTCTGTGCTACACTGGGCTTTCCTAGGTGGAGCTCAGTGGATAGACCTGCTTCATAGCAGATCACACTGCCCTACATCAGTACAACGCAGCCCCTCCTATTGAGTCAACAAGGAAAGAGGAATATTTTCTATGCTGTAGCAGTTGTGTATAGATAACCAGAGAGGCAAGTTTATAGGGATTATTGGGACAATGGACAAGGTTTGCAAAACATGCAACTCCTATTTCCTGACTCCCAAGGCAAACATTCTGGCATCTCCTGAGGTAATTTTCTCTGGGACACAGCTTCAGCCTGGAACAGCACCTGCTGGGTGACAGGCAAGTTTCCAGTGTCAGGGAAAACTAGTAGAAGCAGAACTGAATATTGTATGAAACAACAGCACATTTTTAACTTAAATGATAAGAGGTAATTATTTCACGATGATGCACAGTGTCCGTGGAATAAGAGTTCTGCAAAAAAAAAGAAAATTAAAACTTGCTGGTCAAATGGTATAATAAATTCAACATGTGCACAAACCTTTTAAACTCCTGTCAATATGTTATTCTGGAATATAAGGAGCAGTTGCCTCTTTCCTGTTCCTGCCAGCTCCTAGCAAACAGGGAGCTCTAGGGAGTGCCTGGCGATGGACAAGCTCCCCAGGGTGCTCAGTTTGATTCTGCAAAGCTGCCTAATTTTTTCTCTTTTGGTGGAGCTGAGGGCACTTGGGGAAAGGGTTTGGAGAGACTGGAGTTTTCCAAGGCATCACTTACTGAGGTAATGTCAGTCTTTTGGAAAAGAAGACCTCAGTGTCCCAAAGGCCCAGAGGCCTCATCCCTGAGGCACCCAGCGCCCAGGGCTGGAGCGAGCAGCATTTTCACCGGCATTTGCTCTTACCTGCCATTGCTGGGGAGCGCTGGGGAGCTTCACTCTTGATAATCTGGTGCTGCCTGAGAACTCAAGTGAGAGACTGGCGGTGAGAAACATCGGGAACGGGTGCGAGGGGAATCGCCGGGTGCGCGGCGCCGCTCCTGGTCCGTGCCGCCCTCTGGAAAGCGGCTCCAGAGCAGCCCCGGCACTCCGACCCCAGCCAGGCTGGCTGCCCTTACCTGTTCCTCGTGGCCCGCAGCACACCTGCGGCGGGGCTGGGAGCGACCCTTCTTAAAATCACTGAGTATCCTGAGCTGGAGGGAACCCAAGGATCATCGGGTCCCACTCTTCCCGCAGCCCGACCAGGCAGACCCTGGGGCAGCGCCAGTGCGGGGCGGGACCAGGATCGGCGCCGCCCGCAACCACGGCTCCGGCTTTTTTTCCCTCTGCTTCTGGTTTCGTTTGATACCCCACAGTTGTAGTTCTTGTACTGGGAGTGGCAGCGAAGAGTTAATCCGTGCTCTTCTGCCCAGTTCTCTGGTGATTTTGTGGACTTGCAGCATGTGCCGCCTGAACCACCTTTCTCCTGGTGGTTCTGTTTCCAGAAACCGTTCTGTACTTTTAATCCTTCCCAGTACTCTTCTTTGCCTTTTTCCAGTTTTGCTGTATCATGTCTTGAAGCAAGGAAATCACCTTAATGCATAGGTTTCACACTATGGACATGATTTGCATATACCCAGTAATCTGATGATTTTCTGCTCTGTGGTCCCTCTAATTCCTGATGTAAAATTTGTGCTTTTTTGACTGCTATGGAGTGTTGAGCTGATGACTGTGTGAAATTATCTGTTATAATTAGAAGATTTTACTCCTGTGTGGTGATAGTCAGCTCATAGCCCTTTATTTTAAAAGTGATGCCAATCTAGTTGGTTTGTCTCCCATAAGCATCTCTTAAGGTTCACAAAGACTGAAAACAACTTTCACTTGTCTAACCTCCTGAGCAGCATTCAGAACACTCTGCTGGTCTCAGTTCTCACAGAGGTTAGAAACATCCCTTCTGCTCTATGAACGACTTACCTATTGGAGGAATTTGGCACAGGTTTGTAGCTTAAATACTATTCTTCAGATATATTATGGGTACACTTCCCTACTGGTATCTAAAATACTTTTACTCTTGATTTGTAGCCCCAAACCATCTAAAGAAGATGAATAACTTTTATTCTCTGAAAATCTAATCAGGAAACTTGATTTTCTGTTGATTTTCTTGGGGCAGGCATTGGACACATAGGAGAGGAAGGTGGAAATACTTTTACATTTTTTTCTTAATTGCTGCAGTATTTGCTTATTGGTCCATTTATTTAGAAAATTTTATGAGTTGGATTTAATTCTGTCTTCAGCTTGAGAGAAACCAAACACCCATTCTTAAAGAATGACCCCCAAATCACACTGCAAGTTGTTTATTCTGGAGTGGGTACATGATCAGTTCTTGTTGAAGCTATTTCACTGCAGAAAAATACTTTATGTTTTGGTGAAGGAAAAGAGAGAAAGTGGGCATAATTTTATTACTTAGGCACTGGGATGACCTTGGAACAGGAAAGCTTCAGTTTCTAATGTCAAGAATTGCTGAAAATTTTAACATGCAATAGCAGATGACTGCTGTAGTGACCCACTGCAGAAGGTGAGGGTAACCCAGGTCCTTGTTGATAAATCCCTTGGGGAGGATTAGAGGGAAACAACATTGAATGATTGGTAAAGAAATGCTTCCTAATGTCCAGTCTGAACCCGCCCTGGTGCAGCTTTGAACCATTCCCGCTGTCACAGGATCCAGGAGACGAGAGCTCAGCACTTCCATCTAAACCACTCTGAAACAGACAGGTTTGTTGCTTCAAGGCAACAAAGAGTTGAGCCATAAACACAATCAAAGCCATTACAGATGGTACAAGCACATGCAGCACTTAGGTTGATTGGTTTCTTCAGCAATTGAACTAGATGAATGTTTCCACTCTCACTTTATCAGATGACACAGCACACAAGGAGGGCTGATGGGCAATAACTTGTATAAATTCGTCTGGAAATGCTAATACCTTATTTGTGTGTGTGTATGTGTGCATTTTCTTCTGTACAAATTGCATACTGTGGGTTAGAGTGCTAGGGGCGGTCATCTTAGAAAAGAAATTCATTAGGATAAATGAAATATATTAGAATATAACACCTCAGGAACGACTTTAACTATTCTTACGCCTTTTCCTAGGATTGATACGAAGTTTACTGTACACATTGTTCCGTCTCTGGAGTAGTATATCAATGTTTTAGGAGACTGTGCATCTAAAGGATATTTGTTGTGCCCTCTAGCGCCCAGTGTGTGGGTTTACCTTTACAGCAGAAGTGAAGCCTCCACCGAGGACGACCATTTAATCCCTAAGGCAAATTCCGTCCCAAAAAACCTGTTTTTAGAATCTTTGCTGCCAGTTGTGAGAACTCCGGGATTGATTCAGGGGTCTCGTGTGGTGGTAAAGTCTCTCCTCCAACCTGTGCTTCCAAAGAAAGACTCCACAGCCTCTTGTGGTTTGGTCTCAAGGCAGTTTATTGCTAGCTATCTAAAAGATTGTCTTCGCCCGCTGCGGCTGCCTAGGTCAGCGGCCCAGGCAGAGGCACACACTCTCTTGACACCCTCATTGTCCGGTGTCTCTGTCGTTTCTCTCTCCGCCCAAGGCTGCTGCTATCTTTTATATGATATATTACGTATTATATGTTTACAGATTTTCTCCAATACCTACTATCTATGTTACAATGTGCTCTTCTACTCTAAACCAATTTGTGAGTGCCAACATCACCAAGAACATGGAGGTAAGGAAGAAGAAGGAGGAAGAACAGGATCAGGCCCACTTTCCTCCATCTTAGAACTCCTGACCCCCCTGTACAAAGTAAAACCCCCCTGTACAGGTGTTAAAACTCCCTTGTACAATACTAAAAAATTTTTCTCTCTAATTTGTGATTACTTTTATTATACCATCTAACTCTCTGTGACTGCTTGTTCCACCTTCAAAGTTGGTAATTCATTCCATGGTTCAAACTCAAGATCACAGCTGTTTTCAGCTGCTTGCCAGGGTCTAAAATGCTTCTGACCAAGGCCTGGAACCTCTAAAAATGTCTGAGGGACATTTTGAGTTCTGACATCTCCCCTCTCTGTTTGAACCAGAAACACTCGCTTTACCATGCTGTTCAAGGTCTTTCGAATACACACGAAAATGCATGGTAGAACAAGCAGAAGAACTACAAGTCCTATAAGAATATAAAATGCTATTTTCAAAAGTTCTTTCTACAATGGTGAGATATCAAAAAAGCTAAACAAATCATTCCACTAGGATCTTGTAACTTTGTTCAATTTGCTAATACTACTCTGTATTTGTTTTATATTTTCATGAATAGATTTTGAATGATCGGACAAGTTCATGCAGCACATCTTCTCAAATTCTTCACATCCGTGCCCATGTGTCAGCAGCAAATAATTAATTGCCGCCCTGTTTTGAAGTACTGCTTGCTTTGCACTGCTGATGTCTGTTAACATGTCACTCAGTGCAAACGAAATGGCACGATTGTGTTTGCTCAACTAACATGCTATATGATCCAATTGTGTCAAGGCCACCCCTGATGCTGCTTGGGGTGAGAAAATTGCTACTGCAATTCTCTGAGATTTGTCTCAGGTAGAAACATCATCATCACAATTTGGACTATATTGTTCAAGGGATCTTTTTTCTTTGTGTGTCTGCTTTTGTAAAGTTTTCAAATCAGGTGTTAACAATGAGAATTTCTCAATGTTGCATGGACTGCCCTTGATTTTTGCAGGGATAGCAGGCCAAATTCTGTCTCCGCAAATGAAAAACATTCTCTTCGGTAAAGTTGCTGGATGTTGAAGGGATGGTTTGCTTGTCATTTTGGTATGATTGCACTAAGATGACACATTTTTATAAAAAGGCTGATTCGGAGTGACATCTATTGTATGATTATCTGTCTTTGCCACTCCTGATGAATTAAATTTGATGCACCATTTCATTTTTGTTGACCCAAAAATGTCTAATTCTGGAGGTTCTAAATGAGCCACAGGAAGGTACTGTGTCCAAACATGCCATCCTTCCACAGGATCTGAAAAAGTTTTCAGAATCTTTGGAGGGATGCTTTTTGGAATTGGCCATTTCTCCACTGGCACACCTACTAAGCATGTTGAAAATGGTTTACCTGGCTTTGAATGAGTCAGACAAATGCTGTCTAGACCCGCTGCCCTTGCCAAAGTTTTTCACACATTTTCTTTTGGTTGTTTCATGGGAAAGTCTGTCTCATTGCCCAAGGCAATAGGCAAGAGAATGAGGCACATGAACACTATCTGTCTGAATCCCATGTCTATTCTCCCACCTTCTGTGAGAGACCTTGCAATGCAGCAACACCTAAACAACACTTGATTTCCCAGGAAAAAGAAAACTCCCCAAGTCTCTGGGTGATCAATCATTGTCTGATGTGACGTTTGCAGCTGTTAGTGTGAAAGAAATCCTATTTAAGATTAGTTTTCTGTGACTTTTGCAGAGAACAGAGCCATTGGGGGAATGGTTCTAAGCAGTGAGTACTGTGGTTCTGCACTGAAAAGGAAAAAAAAAGGAGAAACTGAAAAATAATATCCAACAGAAGATATGTCTTTCCCCCCATACGTGTCACAATAACACTGTAGCTATTCGTAGGTTTGTATTGTCATGTGATAAAGATGACAATCACTCTTGCATTGATCTTTCTCCTTAGAGCAGAAATGTTGATGGGCTTGTGCAACAGGAAGGAGGGAAGGAAGGAAGGAAGTAGAAGGACTGTGGGACTACCAGCCTCTCACTGTGACCTGTTTTCCTCTCTGTCTGTATGGTAATAAGCAACAGAAATTGAAAATGGTAACCTCTGGGTTTAAGTCTGTCATACAGTCTCTAAATCAAAAACAAACCAGGAACAGGGATAGTGTCCCAGAAAACATCTCTTATCAGTTGTTTAGCTTATTTTTAAACTATGTGATGTTAAATATTTAACACTATGAAAGTATATAAATTAAATATATATCTAAGGCTTTTATCTGTTTGAAACTGAATTGCAGCTTCTGCTAGCAGATCAGGTGTAAGAGGACTAGTTCAG